TTAGATATAAGTCAGTAAAGGGTTAATGAGCTAGAAAATATTCAGAGTGAAGCAAGAAAGAAAATAAAAAGTGATGGAAAATACAGAAAGGACCAAAAAGATATGAGGTAATTCAGACAGCTAATATCTGAAGAGATAATAGATGAGAATTTCTCAGCACTTAGAAGAATCACTAAAAACCCCAGGCAAAATAAATACAAATGACACAACACCAAGGCATATCATAGTGAAATTACTGAAAAAGACACACAAAAAAAAAATCATAAAAAGCACTGAAATGAGGGAGAAAACATAATCAAAGGGATAATAATCAGATTGGTATTTTTTTAAGAGCTTCCAATGATTAAACAATAAGGAATGTAATAGTATCTTTAAAATTCTTCAAGAAAATAATTATAAAACTAGCAAAAACAATGGATAATGAAACACTTGATTAAACCAAAATAACCAAGAAATGAGAGAAAAATAAAACACAGAGCTGGCAAGAAAAGTAGAAAATAAAATACTAAGATAATACATTCAAAGTCAAATGTGTCAGCAACTACATTAAATGTAAATGGACTTGGACATTCCAGTTAAAGACACAGATTTTAGAATGTAAAAACAAAAAAAGATTTTAGAATGTGTGTGTGTTTGTAGAAATGCATATATATAAACCATATGTGGCTTATAAGAGACACATAAACAAAAAACAACTTTCAGGGAAAAATGCAGAATAAATAAAAGCAGAAGTGCAAAAGAAAAAAGATCACTGCCCATCTAAGCAAGAGAAGAAGATGACCAGTGAAGACTTACTATAAAGATAGGGCATTTGACAGCAATAGTAAATTATATACCTCTATTCTCCCCGTACAAAAATAAAAGAGAAATGTATATATGATTCAGAAGATGAGAATCAAAATAAAAGCTTTATAACTGGTAGGGCTGAATTTGAAAAATGGGGCTGGTCCTTGTCCCTCACTCACAACTAGGCTTCCTATTGAGCACGCTTTCCCTCCAAGTGCAGACAGTGAACCATCCTGCTAAGAAAATCTGCATAGCTGACATTTACCCATCCAGGAATTCACATCTCTAGTGCCCTCAGAGCAGGGACTCACTAACATCTGCAGACTTCCCTCTAGAGATGATTTTCAGTGGCAATTGTACATTAGAATCACTTGGAGAGTTTTCAAAACTGCTTATTCCCAGGGCACACACATCGGATCACTCAAATAGAATCTTCAAAGGAAGACCAGGCATCAGTATTTTATTAAAACTCCTCAAATAATTCTGGCATGTCCCTAAGGTTAAAACCTATAGTATTAGCAGTTCTGGGCCCTGTCTAAAGTGTGTCTACTTCAAGAAAGGAGGTACAGGCACAAAGAGGCTGATCCAAACACACTTAGTTTCTTTTTCCAATCTCTTCAATTAAATAAAGACTTCGGGAGACATAGGCAGACATAGGGAAAGGGGAGAATTATCTTCCCAATTCTGTTCTCTTCTTGACAATGGAATGAAAATTCCCTCATTCAATCAAAGGAAGTTTGTTTCTGTGGTTAATATCACTTACAAGCTGGACCTTAATAAATGAATGTTTGCACATACATAATAAACAGAGAGAGTGGGACTAGAGGACTGTTTTAAAGCAAGGGCTATCTTCCCTTTCAATGTTTTAGTGATCACTGAAGCAATGAAAGAATTATTTGTAACATTCCGAAGTATAATGGAAGTGAGATCTCTAAACTATAAGTTAGCTGAAAGGTAGTCCTTTTTCCCTAGCTCAGTTCCTTTACACATGCTTTTCCTATACTCCTCCTATCTGCCCCTTACCCTCACATCACCTCGCTCATCTGCTTAAAGGTTACTCATCCTTTAGATCCCAAGCTCTCAGAGAGTTTTCTTTGCTTCCACAGACAAATTTAAGTTCTCCGGCCACATGTTCTCCTGAGATCTAGAAAAATTTGTAATCACGTTATCTGTGATTATATAATTAATGTCTGATTCTTTGGATAAATTATAAATTGCATGAGGATAGAAACCTGGTCCATTTTATTCTTCATTAGATCTAGGCATTAGCCACGGTTGTTGAATATTTGTTGAATAAGAGTCCGTGGTCATTTAGAGGCTGGCTGAAACTGCTTAAACTTGCTGATGAGGAAAAAATTTTAAAAGAAGAAAAGGTGGCAGATGCCCTCCTCATTTTCACTTGGCCATTAATTGACTAAAAATGACAGGCAATACAGTACTAAAGAACCTGGAAATAAAAATCAGATGAGGCTGCCAATCTTTGAGCAGGAAGGAGGGCCCATTCTCATTCAACACCAGTAACCATTAAGTGTACCCACCGGCCAAGAAACATGCTTATGGCAGTGTGATTGACCAGACCTCAGAAAAAATTGTCTCTTCAGCCAATCGCACTCAACCAGAAAATAACTTGGGCCAACTGAGGAGGCAAAAAAATAAAGGTGAACAGAAGATTCTTCCTAATGGCTTCAGCACAGTAACTAATAGCTCATCTAAATAATAATTTTGTCGGGTAACAGTTGTACCAGCTTAACTACGTCATCTCAAATTCAAAGGAGGAAAAAGTGATTAACTTAATGTCAAATAAACACAGGGCACCAAACTCTGTGGCAAATGTCACCCTCCAGCTGCTCAATACCCCTGCACAGAGCCGGCTGCACTGAAAAATGGTCTCCACTCTTTCCACCTGGGCTGCCTAAATGATACACCAAGTATTGGGGGGAAATTATGCTCCTGAATCTTAGAGAATATTTATGAGAGTGAATAAGGGGAACCAATAAAGTCCATGGTAGAAAAACTATATGCAACCCACTTTCTTATAGCCCCAGGCAACTGTATTGCTTAAACAATAACAACAGAATCTAATCAGTAAACCGTCCAGCTGCCAAAATTATACAAGCAAGTTGACTATTTAAAATGTCACATTTCCCATCTGATATAAATATTTGCCTTCTGCTCACATTCCTGAAGTGCAATACAAATTAGGCCCAAACTAAAATTCACCTTGGCACAAACTATTTATTTATTTTTTCCTTTCAAGTGACTCAGATTGTGCATTATGAAAATTGTGATGCCCTGGCGGCCTTTTCGGTAATTAGAATACATCACTGAAGCCCGGGTGGATTTTCAGCCTAGGCTTTGCACATTACATGTGGGAAAGTCTTGACTGGTTCATTCAAGTCCACTGAGACGGATTCAGGCTCAGCAATTTTTTTAAATATAAATGCAAGACTGCCTGTTGTCTGATTTCTGGGAAAAATCATCCTAGTGAGACATTTTTATTCAATTTTTTAACATAGAAAACAAACCTGGTAATGAAAAAAAATGTAACTTGAAAAAACATTTCAAGGAAGCAACGTGAAAATAGTGGAAAAGGTAAAAAGGCTAACTTAAAAGATGGATATAACAAAAATCAGATTTGTTGGCTGTGTTGGTTTATGTCAGTATACAAACCTTCTCGTTACTGGCAGGAAGTGAGAAATTTAAACCATCACAAAAGTGCCCACTCCAAGGGCTTCTGTGGCCTCCTATAAAAATTGAGCTTACATTGCCAATGTTATATGCAGACTAGAACCATTTGTCACCACGTGTCGTCCTCCCATAAACTGTCAGAGTCACCTGGGGTGCTGGCTGGCACACAGGGTACTAGATGCCACCAAATCTTCTGAATTAGAGTCGCTCTTCAGAGCAGGACACAGGAATCTGCATTTTTGAGAAGCATCCCTCCCCGAATCACCCAAAACCCCGAGACAGTGTGCTTGCTCTATAAATGTAGCTTCCTGATAAGTCCTTAGCTCTCACTTCTAATCCAGTTGGAGCCCCTGTGCTGCTCTTATTATAGAAATTCAGAGCCAGTTAGGATATTAAAGTTAGAGAACCTCTCCCTGGAGGATGTAATTCCTTTAGAACTCTGATCTCATCTAAACCAAATAAGTAACTAAAGAATCTGCAAAGTCTACTGGTTAATAGTGTGTCTGAAAAACAATCCTTTCATGAAGTACTGTGATGTTTGGAAGCAGGATAAAAATGATAATTGCCTCCAATTACCAAAGCCTCTCAAATTCAAGGAGCCAAAGAAAGAGCCAGGGCTTATGCAACCAATATATAGATTGTCACCATCCCCAACCAGCTACACCTGTTCCCTTTAATTTCTGTCTCATGATAAATAAGCCATCCTCCCACAACAGTAATGATCAGAGTTCATGTTCATGACTACCTAAAGGCTGGAAGCAATAGCTGATTGCCAATAGTCAAACTCCTTTGGAAATTGCCCCTGCTTTAAAATTTAACACTGATTTTGAGATATTCTCACATATTAAATCAGGAATGAGAGTTTTCTGAAAATGAAACTCTTATTTTGAAAATATTTCCAAGGTCCTTTGAGCAACAAAGAACTTACACTTGCACATAAATGTTAACCAAGAAAGGAAAAAATTATCTTCTATATAAACAACAACGGACCAAGCATTAAGCCTCTTCCAGTGCAGCCCAGGTGGAAAAATGCCCCAGAAAAAAGACAATCTATCTTTAGTATTCATGTGTTTAATTTCCATATTTAATGAATATTTTCAAAGGCAAAATCTATTTATTTTTTGTGATCAATTATGATATTCTTGGAGTTTTTATGATCAATTGATATTTTGTGTGTCTCTTGAAAACCACCTCAGTTTATAAGACTGCACTTCTAAGAAATAAGAACTTGACTTTATAATGGTTCTATTTGAGATAATTATCTAAGAATCAATCATGTGGTAAATTGGAGGGAGGACTTATTTCATTTAAGTCTAAAGGTTTTACAGTCTTCAAGAAGCTGTGACCTTTCAGCTGAAATCTGTGTTTGTAGCGGGGATGTGAGTGAAAAAGAAAGTTCACAATGTAGTTTTTCCCATCTCAAAAGGCAGAGGTAAGGATGGCCATGAGAAGGACGGCTGTCCAAAGCCTTATTTGCAGAGTCTAGGACGAAGTCAAGCAGTGTGGACAGGAAATGGAAAACATACCCTTGCACGTTTGGGGCTGAAGCTCTTCATCCACGTCCAAATCTTCTAAGTCTAGAAAATTGTCTATCTAGGAAAGGATTAAAAACATTTTACGCATATTAGGACTAAAGAAAAAAGTGCAATGATTCCACGTCCACAACACTCAACCGAGCAGCTGAATCCACTTTTTTCATTAACTCCCGAGTCCCAGCTCGAGGAGTGTGTGTTCACTGGGGTTTCCCAGAGTCATCTGAAAGCAGCAGTTAATTTGGAAGTTGGCCTGGATTTTGTAAGCACCATAGTCAGACCTCTTTACTGAAAGTGCTCCCGGAGTTTCTGAAAAGGGACTTTGTCCCCCATTCTAGCCCAGAATATACACCACCATCCTGGCACTCCAAACGGAGTTTCTGGGGTTTGTTTTCATTTTATTGCTTTTGTTTCTCAAGCAGACGGCGGTGGCAGCGGGTCTGGGTATGACTGAAACAGGGTGCTTTCTTACAGCACTCTGCAGAGCCCGAGAAACTACAGAAAGCCAGAGAGAAAGGTTCATTCAAAACAAAATCACAAGGGAGGTGAGCAGGGTGAAAAATCGAGTGTTCTCTCTTTCCAGCAAATAAAACCAAAAATTACTTCAAAGGTAAAAAGCTGAGCAAATGACCTTTACAGGCACGGTAGAAGCATTTCAATGAAAAACTATTTCCACGTGGAATACTGCATTCCACTGCAAACTGACGATGAGACATTTTAGATTAACAAAACGGTACATTTCAGAAATGAACTGATTCATCTCAAGTGGCTGTGGAAGAGTGTAAATAAGAAAATGACCTCACCACTGGCATAAATGAGGCCTAGCAAAGACACAAGGTTGCAATGCCTTTTATGCTTGTGACCTCAACACACGCATAACAAAAGACCTTAAAATTACAAATTTAGATTTTATAATTGGAACTCAAAGGAGAGGCTGGGTCTTTCTCCCCACCCCTACCCGCCCCGCAAGTCTATTTGCAGGGCAATGGCTATTACACGGGAATTTTAAATGGTATTTTCCGTTGCTCATGAGTACATGATTGTGATTGTTATTGATACTTAGCATCCAAGTGACAGCACAAATTTATCTTCCACATGATTTCAGTTCTAAAATTTGAGAATCTGTTATCTTAATATTGTACTGCTGTTTTTCTTAGCAGTGATGCTTAAGGGGGCTGGAGTCATTGTTCTATATCAAAGCCCTCCTTCCATGGTTAAGCTTTCAGGAAAAGAGGACCAGCACCCAGGCAACCAAGGAGGGTTTAAGATAAGCAAACAACAACTTAAAAAAAAAAAAAAAAGAAGAAAGAAAGAAAGAAAAGAAAAATTTATAAGGATGAAATCTCCAACTTTACATAAGGGATAGCAAATGAGACTTGTTTTTTCTTTGGGTTTTTTGTTGGTTTGTTTGTTTGTTTTGTGTGTGTTGTGTTTTGTTCCAAATGAAAATTGAATCATGCCTTACCTTCACTTTTCCTGCCCGATTCAGATCACCTTGTAAGAAACTACCAACTTTTTGACCTTCATCCACCACTATCTGAAAATACAGAGAGGACATATCGATAGAAAAATGGAATGACAGATAAAACTCCTTTTCCATTTTTTGTTGAGAGACCAGATTCCCCAACCACGGCACAGGTCAGGGAATAGGTTTCAGGAGCTCTGCCTTGGACTTCTTCCTCCGCACGCAGCCATAGCATTTTTAACCAAGAGTAGATTCCTTAACCCCAACCTTCTCGTGTATAAAACAGGAACACGCTCCTCCTGCTATCTCATCCCACTGAAACTCTGATAAACAAATCAGAGAATGCTGATACGAAATTTTCAAGTTAACAAAAAACAATGCCATTCAACAATTCTTCACCTCTCACATGCTGGTCAAAGACTCACTATATGATATCATCTCAAGGGCCAATAATTGCCATTAAAAAGCGACTCCTCTAGAAAAAAGAAAAACAATAATCTCACTGGAAGAAAGTTCCAGAAATAAATAATTATAGGCACATGCTACATATAAACATATTTCTAACATAAAGATTTTTATTCCCCTGTATAAAACCATAGTCTTTTATATAATTCTGTCCACAATAATACGGGGAAGACAAGATGAAGCAGAAACTAGAAATTCAACTGGCTTACAAAATAGAAAAGCTTCACTATGATTCTTTGATAATTAAAAACTACTGCTGAGGAGTATGTAAACAGGGTCTATGAAGTCTTAAAAATTAGAAAAAGAACATCCAAGATTTATTGACCAAATCTTATAAAAACCTTATTATAACAGAAACTTTTAAGTTTGAAAGAGGTGGACCTTGGACAGATAAAAGCATGTCTCATTTTACACAGATTTATGAAAAAGGAACACTTCTGTTCCGAACAGAAGCTAAAAGATATAAATAATTTCAAAAATTTATAGACGGAGAGTCTTAAGAGCTTTTTAATGAAAATTGAGGATAACCAGTTACCATCATAAACAACAGCTGTTAAAATCATGGAATGTACTGATTTTCAATAAAGTGCCCCAGTGGTATTCCTTCTGGAATGAGGAGTTATAGTTCCAACAACTGTCTAATATTTCTTACAGTCTCTCTTTCTTTTAATTCATAACGTATGCTTTTATCTTCAAATTGTTTCTAGAAATGTGCTATGGTATTACCTGTTCTTCTTCTGAGCATTGTGATGAAGTATGAAGAAAGATAGTTTTATTTCTAACATGGTGGTCATTTGGTTCATTTTTATGAGTAGACTTTCTTGAGGTAAATATTTTTTCTGAAGAATCAGATCCGAATGCTCCACTTTTGGTCACATCATACTCTGAAATGGTAAGTTACATAGTATTAGAAAATATCCACCATACCCACTCCGGTTTACTGAGAAACTTTCTTCCAACAAAAAAGAATACTTTTGGGGTGGCACCTGTGGCTCAAAAGGGTAGGGCACTGGTCCCATATGCAGGAGGTAGCAGGTTCAAACCCAGCCATGGCCAAAAACCACAAAAAAAAAAAAAAAAAAAAGAATACTTTTGAAAGAATTCTGCCAACTGAATGCTTGAGGCAGTTATAAGCACTTTGACCTTTAAAAACATATAGAAAGATAACTGTTTCAGGTCCTTTCAGGCCCCTGGCCAGGCTCTGTTTCAGTTATCTTTCTATAAGATGTCTTTCCACTGTTTATTCAATATCAGCAAATACTTATTGAGTGCCCACTATGTATCTAGCATTGCTCTTGGCCACTGTTAAATGGTCAATAAAATACAGTATACGGAAGAGTCTTTAGACATTACCTTTCCAATTTTTTTTTTAAATTTAAGTTGTTTCTTTTTATGGAAGCAATATATGAATGATTTTAGAGACTTTACAAGAACAAAAGTAAAATAGAAAAATCAGTTCTACTCCGACGTGCCACAAAAGCTGCAACAAAATTTTTTCAGTGGTTATCTAATTTTTTTATACATCCGTGAACTTGTAAAAATGCGAAGAGAATCACGTTGTACGTATCATAACTCAACATGCCAACAATATCTCTTTTCATGTTATGAGACATTCTTTTATGTAATTTTAAATGGTTATAGAGAATTCCACTGAATAAACATAAAAGTTATTGAACGAGTTATTTAATGGTTTAGAATCATAAACAACAAATACCTTTGTACTAAATCCATGTACATTCTTGATTATCTCTTTAAGTTAAGGAAAATGTCTTAAGATTAATCCTAAATTAATGGACTGAGAAAATTATGATAATCACAACACACTCAATACTCATATGAAGCCAGTCGATGATCTAATACACACCCGCATAAGAGAAAAACTCAATTCAATTCACATTGGGGAGAGGGAGAAGTAGGGAAGGGGGGACGGGATGGGTGTGCTCCCACTTAAGGAACAATACGAGGGTATTGGCACACCTATTGGGTGCGGGACACAACTACAAGAGGGACTCTACCTAACAAATGCAAATATTGTAACCTAGTTGTTTGTACCCTCATGTTGACCTGAAATGTAAAAAAAAAAAAAAAGAAATGTGGAGAAAACAAAGGAAATAAGTTTGGTAAGAGATAATGAACCTAGCTTTGGCCATATTTCACTTGAGGTGCCGGTAAGGTGACCCAAAGACAGCTTCAAATGTGGGCTAAAATGTGGGAGAGAGATCATAGCTAAAGGTAAATATCTGATCATTCATTATGCTGAGGTAGTGCCCTAACCTGTAGGGAGTCAGCCCCCACACCACCCATGCGTGTCTCTAATGTTCAGGAGGGAATGAGGAAAATAAAGACAACAGAAACATTGTGGACTTTATAGAGCGGGGTTGGGGTGGGGGGGGGAATCAATGCCCTTTGTGTGAGAGACAGGGAAGCCCTTGAACTCCACATGCACTCAGTTTTTATTATTTCTCTTGATTAGTTGATGGGTGCTTGTAACAGTAACAACATACATCATCTTTGTGGGGTTTTTGTCTTAATTTTGGATTACCCATCCAATAACCCTTTATCTAATTTTATTACTTTTACTTCTTAAGATATTTATCAATCATAAACAGGATTATAGAAAATAAAGGAAAAGGAAGCATGGAATTTGGAGTTCGACGCCACCCGGTTAATCCTTTGTTTCCTACGGGGCAGATTAGTTGAGGCCTTACTCATCTTTAGGAGCTGGGAGGAATAACACTGAAATCTTTTAATCTCACACCCCTAAGAACTCATTTTTTTGTATCAATGAGTCAGCTGTGTATGTTGTCTTCAAATGGCTTCTCAAGCCCTTTCAGGCCCCCAGTCAGGCCCTTGTGGACCTTTCCTCGGGCATCCCTTCTGACTCCAGCTAGGCTGTTGTGGACCTTTTCCTGAAGTCCTTTGATGTTCGTGCCAAGCTGTTTCATGAAGCCCCCAGTATAGTGTTCTTTTGGGGGGCTCATGTCCTCTCCCATTCTTGTGCATACCTGACCCTGATCACACAACCTTTTGTACAATCATCTCATTGTTATATCAACCTAACTCTATTTTCATAATTTTAATTTTTTTAATATTCACCCACATTAAACCATGAAATTGTTTTCAATATTAATAGTAATATTTGAATAATAAGGGTTAACATTCATTGAGTGGCAGGCACTCTTTTGTGAGCAACTCATGACTCATCTAAGCTGCACAATATTCCTCGAGGCAGTGACTGATACCATCTCTACACATTAGGAAACCCAGGCTAACAGAGAGATTAAATAACTTGTTCGAGGTTATAGAGATGGTAAACAGCAGAGTGGAGATCTGAACCCAGGCCTTCTGACTCTTATCCTCCTAACCACTGTGCTTTGCTACCTGGAGTAATACAGAAAAGGAAGAGGAAGTCTTTAGAGAATAGAAGAAGCAGAAAAAAGAAAAAAAGAAATCCCAGAGGGAGACAAAGAAGGAAAATCTTACAATGGTGAAAGAAGAACCAAGCGTACAGGGTACATTCCAAAACTGCAACTAGCTCAGGCTAATGACAATGGCTAATACAAGAATCTACATCAGTGACCACCAAGAGAGTGATAAAGATATTCAAAAGAAGTTAAAAAGCAGAAATCAAGCCAACGTCAGGTAGGGGAATCCTGTTCCATTGCCTTACCAGTCTCTACCCCACAGAGATGCAGGAGTTATTTTATCTGTGAGTTCCTTAGGCAGGTGTCTGCCGGAAGAGGTCGTGAGACAGCCTGACCAGGCACAGCACTGTGTTAGTGTCTCTCGAGCCACCAGCTGCACAGCATCAAACTTGGGGAGAGTCAATTTGTAATGATCCTGGCTTGGTCTAAGTTCAGCTGGAATTCCCTGTTTGCCTCTGAATACCTACCTAGCAGGGGTCCTCAAACTTTTTAAACAGGAGGCTGGTTCACTGTCCCTCAGACTGTGGGAGGGCCGGACTGCGGGCCCTGGGACGAGTCAGCTGCTAAGCAGGACAGGCAGTGGCAGCAAAAACACCCGATGGGCCAGATAAATGTCCTAGGCAGGCCTCATGTGGCCCGCAGGTGTAGTTTGAGGATACCTGACCTATAGAATTGGTACAATTAAGTCTTGTAAGGACGTTTTGAGGACATTATCAGAAAAATACTATTGGGGAATAGAAATAAGGTCACCTAGTCTACAATACATCATTAATTAACCAAAGACAGAAAACACAAATATTGAATGTATCACTTTCTCTTTTCGAAAGGTCGTACCCATAAATAACAGACCCCAGGCCAACTCTCCACTGCTGGCTACTGTACCAGCACCAGTGACTCCTAACTAGCTCCCACTGGGACAGGTGGCACCTGCTCCTTGCCACAACAAATCCCTAGCACAAGCCTTGGCTGCTGTGGGTGGAGGGGCTGGGGCGCTGAGTAAAGTGTGGAGAGGGTTGCTGAGAACACTGCTGCCGTAACCAGAAGTATAAAGGATCAGGTAAGTGAGGAAGAAATTGCCTTAGGACGTAGTCTCCCCAACTTATTCCCCGTTGACAGCCACAGTGATGTCCTAAGTCAGTCCCAGAGCAACATTAAGCAGTGGTCAAAGATAGAGCAAAGTAGGCATGGAGATGGTGGGAAACAGGAGGCATTAACTCAGGGGTGAAAGGGTCCCTCACACTTCATTAAAGCCAGAAGCAAAGAATACATCCTGTGGCTACTTCCATTCCGCAGTGCACTGTTCTAGGAAAAGGAGGAATAGTTCCACTTCGCCCCCCTTATCCTTTAAGTCAAGCACAATCTAAATCTAGTATTTACTAAGAAAATACTATGCACCCAGCACAACACTATGGTAATAGTCTACTGACCTAAATACTTGAAAAGCACAGCAATGTCTGAAAATAACACGTTACATAAGAACAAGTTCTATTTGTTCTCATAATCACTTGGGGACTCTCTACCATTTCCAGTAAAACATCCAGGTTATCTGACAAGCAACCAGATGAAACTCCTTTGAAATAAAGACCAGGCCGAGTGCAGTGGTTCACACGTGTAATCCCAGCACTATGGAAGGTTGAAGTGGGAGGATCACTTGAATCCAGAAGTGTGAGACCAGCCTGGACAACACAGACAGACGTTGTCACACCTGTAGTCCCAGCTATTTGGGAGGCTGAGACAGGAGGATCACCTGAGCTGGAAGTTTGAGGTTGCTGTGAGCTCTGTTGACACCACTGCACACTAACTTGGCCAACAGAGAGAGCCTTTATCTTAAAAAAAAATTTTTTTTTAATAAAGAACAAAATATAATGAAGTCCCAGCTTCTGATACTGAACTATTGCTGGAATCTCAGATCCAAGTTCTTGTCTAATCTTTTAAAATTCCTCCTTTTAAAACATAAAGTTTTCACTTTTAAAACACCAGACGATGCAGAAAAGAACTTGTTCTTCTCTCTCTGCCTAAGCCTACAGTATAAGGCTCTTTTCTAAACCTTGAAATTAGTTTCATAAGAATACAAGACACAGTATCCCTCCAAAGACCCAGATAGTGCTCCTTCTAAAGGCTTTTATCATTTAAAAAAGAAAAAAAAAAGCTCAGCAAATAATAAATCTCTTGGCACAATGAGATAGGAAAAAAGTTCTTTTTCAATATGATAATGTCAAAATGGCAGATGTTGGCACAGCCCAGACTCCGAGTAGCTGAAAGCCTGATTAGTGAGCCAGATGCTACTTCCCATAGTTCTCCTGGTGGCAGTCCGAACGTGCCACCCCAGTGTTTATCTCATCTCCTTCTGTTTCTGTTCTTCATCAGAGTCCTTTTCCACCCTTTCATCTTATCCCTAATGTTTCTTGCTTTGAAATAAGTGTCAGACATAATACAGTTTAGAAATCCAACAGCAATAT